CCGCTAATTAGTCGAACCGAGTGTGAAACTGTGTGCAAAAATAGACAAAGAAAACGAAGTTACCGCCAAATCTGTCTTTCACTCCACGCAATAACATTCGCGTATTGCTTTAAACAAAATGATTCGAGATAACACTCGCGTTTTCGAATAAGGACGTCCTTTGGAGAATTACACCACAGTGAGGAAAACCACACTGATGGGATAAAAGGAATTCAGCTAGTGTGCATGCTCTCATCTCCTTCTCTCCGTCTATCTCTCTTTATATATATATATATATATATATATATATATGTATATAAAGTTCAAGTAATCAGGATCCAGCAAATAATGGGTTAGTGAACAAACTATCAAGTCAGAGAAATCAATTACGTTCCAAAAAATTACCGCTAATCACGAGGAATTCTTATAAAACGATCAACAACCGGCCCCGGTGTCCAGTTTTCCGAGGTTAAGCGTATCTTACCCACAAAACTAACACAGTAATCCGAAGGATAGTTCTCCAGGTTTTTTTCTGAACCGAATGACTTAGATGCAAGTAAAGTTTTGGTGCCTAAATCACGTTCGGGAAAACAAGTATATAGACACGCGTATCCGCAGAACCCGTTGAAAGCTTTTCAAATTTTTGCCCTAATGTTGATATGCAAATTGTAATCACAACGAGCATCATTCATTAATACAATGTTCAGACAAAATTGAAATCACCATATATAATCTTTGTCAAACCGTAGCTGCGGAACAGCTTCCATTTCCAATAAATGAGTAAGGCAATAGTTGTTTCGTTAGCCTAAAGTATTTCCTGTGTTCTGCTAACCTGTTTTAGTTCGATAGATGTGGCACAATGTATATCTTTGGCACCGTTTTAATGCAAAGCTAAATGCGTAGGCACGTGAGTTCAGAAGGCAAATTTGCTACTATATGCAACTAGGTATACACGGGTGTGGAAACAGCCTAAACATCAGGTCTGCTTTCATNGCTTTCATTCGAATCCACAATAAAATTCCTGGTTTGGAGTACGAGAATTAATTGAATCAGTTGTTGTGATATTCCTGACCATTAACGTGGTGCGTCGTCTGAGATCTGTGTTTCTTTGAGTAGGTCTTATTTTACATAATAACAGATTGATGGTTCTAAATTGCATAAACTGAACGTAAATCTAGGTATGAGAGAGGAACAGTGGAATAGATAGTTTTAGCTCTGTAATTCTTGATTTTGATTGTATAACTTACAGAGTAAATGTTTTGTATGTAGCTTGACGTCTATCGCATCGTTTTCACTCGTGTCTACTCAGTGGCAGTCCTACACCAGTGCCTTCTCCAACTTCCATGGTCCCATTGAATCGATCTGCCTTCTCGCGCCCACTGATGCGACGGCATTCAATGCGCGGTGCTCTGTCCGAAAGACCGGTCACGTTGGGTTTGGGGGAACGAGCGGTAAATTGTACTATGTAGAAATGGAATTTTCCTCTGTGTCTTGTTTTTCATATTTTGTGGCGATCTTTTGAGTTTTGAAAGATATCCATATTGTTTGTCTAATTCGATAACTGCACATAGGTACAGTAGGAACCGCTCCATAATATTAGAAAGTTAATATATTGTTGTTTCTGATTACCCCGCTTAATGATAACCAAAAGCATTTTACAGAACGATTCTCGTCACAAACATAGCAAATAAATTGTGAACCGAAACTTAGCATTTAGTACAGCAGCCGTAATTAGAGTCAGTCCAACTGGAGATCAAACTCGAAATCTCATCGGTAGGACGCAAGAACCTTATCCATCTTTGACATTCGAGCTGGAGAAGGTATAAAATATATTTGCAAGTTTTCAAAAAACTTCCATTTCACCTCATCTCAGCATCACTATCCAAGGATTACTACCTCTGTATATGACAAAATGTTTATGTGATCGAGTGAACTCTTTCAATATTCCTATCTATTGGTTATTCACTTGTCAGTTTCTTTTCAGTATACTTTACCGCTCATCAGTTTGTATCATTCATATCATCGCTCAAAATGTTGGTTTATATATTGCATTGTGGTCCGTAAGTTTTAATATCGTTCAATAATACTTATGAGTTGCATTCGGGCCAATTACGCCTAATATACGGTAGTAGTTCATCGCATTCATGTACAGATTTTTTTGAGAAATAAACGTGGCTCGTTTGTGCACGTTTCACGCATTCTGTTATTGCCGATGGAATGATCCATCAGCTGTTGTACTGTTGTCCATCGAGATTTTGATGCCCATGTCAGTTTCCACAATTAGTAATCAATTGCCCACTTCTCCTGGTGGGGTTGATGATAGTTGTTATCTCGCTCTCGTTGCCTCTCACTCCCGGTAGGTAACAACTGACAAAGTCTGTCCTGATTAGACAGAATCGAAACTGTGTGCACACCAATACACACACTTGATGTTGACATGGAGCTTGTGGTTAACACAAAACTTTGATCTGCGTAAAATGCGATCGCTGTTCACCGTTTATCCGCCCCAACCTAAAGCCTCTTTTAAGTCTACCTGAGGAGATAGCCAAGCGTCAGACTCAAACACGATCTCAGATATCAATAAAATAAGCTAACGCTTTATTGATTGTGTAGCAAATGAATGGTTTAATTCACAGTAAAGCTTTTGTTCCACCTATCAATGTCCGATACATCCACCAAGTCAGCTCGAATGAAGACGCGTCCACGAGAGTATTCATGCAAGCATCGTTTCATAAAAAATTATGTACGGTCAATGCTCGTTCTGTTTGACAACAAATAAACAATTTTCCTTTCTCGCCACACACACACACAGACAGATAGAACAGGCAAGTGACTGACTTACAATCGGATAATGTCGAACTGGGGGCATCAAGACACACAGGGTTGCAAGTCACGTGATTCGTATTAGATGTGCCGAATCGGGTGTTCGCGGAAATTGCACGAGGTGATCATTGATCAACAATCCCGAAACGGGACTCATGGTCACTCCACTTTTGTGTTTGGACACAGACAAATAGTTTGTTTACTGTTTTATGCAAAATTGTTGATGTCCGACAAGTTTATCATGTTTTCAGTCGTATATCTTTGGTCTAGACGAGTTGTCATGTTGATAGTATAATTCAGTCAAGTCTTATTCAGAAAATCTAGAATTACTCAATCAAAAAACATTCAACCCTTAGTGTCTTATTCAGTTGACCAAACAGAAGGAATACATGGCAGGAAATCAGTATAACCTTTACAATTGTCAAAAGTATCCAGAAAACGAGTGCCTTTCGCATTTACGAAGTGAAACCACAGCGTGGACGATAGGGGATTTTCAATATACCCCGACAATCGGCTTTGTTTCAATCGAAATTCTGTGGATACAATATTGTTCTGATACAGTGTCTCTCACCGTTATTTCGTATCTGGCATCTGTTCAGAAATTGTTATTGACAAACTTGATTTTCAAAACCAATATAGTTTTTTTCTGATACATTCAGATAACATTATTTTGTCGTTTATTCATGGATCAAATCTCTCCATGACATTCGCCATGATAAAATATATCAGCCAGTTAGCAAGTGGACGTGGTATCTGCTCTATTTCAAGGAATGATTCTGAGATGAGTTCCTTTAAACAATTATAACAATAGGAATGGTGAGATTAACGGGTTCAGTGATGATAATCACAAGAAGCTAAAATTTGGACGAAACTACATAGTATCTCTGATGGGAAGAGACACTTTACATCTGGAATGCAGGCTTTAGAGTGGATTTCGAGAACTACACTGAGTGCGCATAGTTGATGCGTGTTAAACAGTTCACAATCAATCAAACACTTCCAAATCAATCTTCTCTTATCAATATGCGCATCAAATGTGAACACCCTTAGGCTTGTGATGGCGGGAGTTAAAAGATTCAGATTATTGTTGTCTAGAAGCGATGGGATTTGTGACAAAACATCGAAGTCATCAGTTTGAATGTATCTTTTCAGGTCTGCAGTCCTTAAAATAACGCGACAATAAAAAATCCACAATCGCGTGCAGTAAATAAACAAAAATATTTTTCTTCTTCCACCCCAAAACTGCGTGTGTTGTTATTTTATTATTATTCTACTTCTTTCATCTCATGGTTACTTTGTCGCCATAGTTGTAAAGGCATCTATCCACAGACAATTTTTCATTTAAGTACGATGGACATAATGGGTGTAGAATTTAGCTTATTAGTCCATTTTTGTTGTATCCCTAACTTTGCTGTGCTCAATTTTGAACGAACATCGTTTGTGATTCTAAAATCGAATGAATTTTTTATCACTTTGCCAAACTAATCACTGAGCAGGCAAAAGAAGGCAAATTGGCATTCACTTTCGACCGAATCGCGGTTGTTCGCACAACTTATTTGATTCTCAGTCCAATTCCATTTGACTTATTCCGTTAGAATATGATGATGTGATGCACGATAATTGATCATTCACTTTTCAATCTCACGACAATTCGGAATCGAACTGTCCCCGTCCAGTTGTCCCCGACTTGAGACACATGCTGTTTGGATTGGTACCCAACCGGGAAAGAGGAGCAAAAACACACATATATAAAGCAAGACTGTTTCGGTCGGTGTAGTATGCAGTCGGATTTGCAAGCCACACATGTTGCGTTTCGTCATGCTCGCAGCGAACGGGAAGTTTGCCCGCACGCACGCACGCATACACTGTATGCAGTCACACACGTACACACACACACACCTACACACAGGCATACGTGCACTACACAGTTAGTCCTTGGAAATGATTTGTGAACGACCGTTTCTGTGGACGAGGATCGAACGAACACTAGGTGCTTAGCTAGTGAATAGCTTTTACCGGATGTCTTTCTGCTGGTAGTAGCTCACCCGACAAAATTGTGGCCATTGATTGGACGTGAATAGTCTAACAGCTCGGTAACTTATACTATTCGCAGGTGTCTTTTTGTTGCATTTGAGCATGTTGAATTTTGAAAGACTTGGGACATAATTCATCCATGTGTTCTCAAGACATCATAAACCGACATTTGTGTTTTTTCAATAATACCTTACCCAAAAATCATGATGGTGGTAAACATGTACATTCCTTAAAAGTATGACTTGAAGATGATACTCCATACTTGCATAATCTATATCAACCTCATATGTATAAGTTTGAATGTGCATCATGATGTATTAGGCATATTTGACCCCGTTTAAAAAGCGCGTGGTATAATTAAACGGGAACCGGCTTTTAGGGGTTCCCGGTTTTGATCACCTCATTACCGTCATGCGAATCATGCTTTGGTCAGCCGAAGGTTTAAGGTCAGGATCACCGAACAAATCCACGTATTTTGGTCCGGACTATCATCTAGCAGTATTCTGTCCACGAGAAATGCCTACAGTGATTCTATTTATTAAAAAAATCTACTTGCTGGCGTTTTGGTGTACAGTTTGAACTCAGGCACGTTTGAGATACTAAAATATAGTATGATCAGTGCAAAATGAATCATGTCAGTGAACATTATTACTGTTTACCACGAGCAGCTCGTAAGAGCCACGGGAAATGCACATCATTAGTGAAACTCCTGAGCTTATGTAAATAACTGACCCCATAAACATGGCACATTTTCCATTTTTAACCGTGTATCTTCCTATGACATAGACTCAATAAGCTGAATGAATTAAGCCCTTTTACTGATGGATGCTTTAATTGCTAGATCATACCACTCGTTGACAGTTCTGATTTTCAAAGTTAATCTAAGGAAAATGTGAAACATACAGATTGGATGTTTTAAGCGAATAAATTCCACAGGTTGCCTGTCACAAATGAAAATCAGAATAAAAACCTTTCAATTTGGTGACAACACAATNACACAATGCCTTTTTATTTGACTGTCCACCTTGGAAGCGGGAACCAATTTGCATGCGGATCGCACTACTTCAGGAACAAATCGATTTTATTCAATTTTCCTTTTATAGAGTCTACAAAGTCATCGACTCTCGCTATCCAGACCACTTCGATCATCGTTAGGTTCTCCAACCTACGGATCGACGACTACGGAACCACCTCGATGCCGAAGTGTGCACTTTTCCTCAGATGTATTGGTTGCGCATACCGGTAATGGACCTGAACCACTGATGCTTTCTTCGGCACCCTTGAAAGAGCCAGCCCCGTGCGAAGGGGACGAGGATCGGGGCCGACCAAAACCACCGACTAAGTCGTTCATTTTGGGACCAAGACGTTTTGTTCCGACCGGACGTGTACCGACAGAATCTAATTTTCAAGAGCTACAAATTTCGATTAATCAAAATCAACCACAACCAAGGCTACCCCGACCAACCCCGTTTCGCAGAAATCTAGTCCCCAGAGGCGCATCGGAACCAAATTTGTGATTGAACAAAGAGCCTGCAGATATCAACTATTTCTTCCGTTACTGATTCTCTACTTAGTTCTCCCCGATCTCAGTCGGCTTCCGTATCGCACAAACCTAAACAATTGTGCCTGTTAGGACCGGGCAAAAAATGATATCACGATATTAATCAGGATCTTTTATTATCCGATGAGAATTATTTATTTGAATGCACTTCAATTTGAACAGACTTAGTCACCAGTCCTATTCGAACTTTCGGAAAAACATCATTCATTTGATCACGTGTTATTTTTCAATCGGGTATTTTTTTCTATCACCATCTCCACAATAAGTCACTTCTCTAAACATCTCTTTCTTTTACTCTCTCTCTCATCTTATCTTTTGCTCGCCTTCTATGCGGGTTCTTTGTCACTTCCATTTCATTCAGACTCAGAATTATCAATGCAGAAAAGCATTGGAGAAAAAACGGATCTGTATTGTTAAGCAGACGATGTCCGAAAAAGTTATGTGTGGCATCGTTCAAAAGAACCTGGCGATTGGGCTGTGTCGTCGACTTCAACGTAATACTTATCCCATCTCGCAAAAGTTCTTCTTAGTTTACCCTTTTTTTGCGACACGTATGCACACACACACACGGAAACACTCACGCCTCTGTGTGGTCGATCTTAGCACTTGATCGATGCGGAGCAATCAGCAACCAATCGGACACGAGCATTTGAATGAACAATTTGCATCGCACACACATCTACACGAACAGGACAAACGGACGCTTTTTCATGTGAATCTTAAGCTCAATTATATTATAAACGAAAAAAAACATTTTCGAAGGAAATTCTTGTTACGAGTAAAATGGTGATAGAGTCATTGATAAGTCCAATTTTTACCGTTTCAATGCTATTTGACATTGTACATCAAACCGGTCGCGAACCGCACAGTCCGGCAAAACACTATGTGCGTAGGTCACATGCGGACCAGTTTTGTGATCACGAATCAGCAGTTAGCAAACTGGTACATGTCCATTGGTTCCAGAACAAAACGTTCACGAATAAAAAGATATTCAGCAAACTGTGGTCGACAAAAGCTTGACAATATGTCCATGTTAATTTCAACTGAGTAGCCAAAGTAGACACATCTCCGCATATATCCTGTCTGCATCACCACCATAGTTAAATAACCTCTTGTCTAAAATCGACCGCTCGAAGTTGGATGAATACAAGTTGAATACCGCAGTTCCGACAAGGTTTTATTCTAGTCGCCTTCTTTTTATCTCCATTGATTCACTTTGATTTGTTCCTTTGCATAACAATATTTCAATCAATACACAATAATTCCGAGACCTAATTCAAAGAACACATTCAGATTGAGCACAATTTAATTCCCGGATCATTTTGTTTCATCTCAGCTTGTACTTACTACAAAAACAAGCAATTTATATATCAGAAGGATTAGACAAGTCACTGTTGTAGCTATGGGCTATGAATCTTATTATAGTTGATAAATTCATGTCCACTCTCGAGTACTAAGCTAATTGGACTCTAAGCGACATTGCGTTATTCAGGAAGTGCGTCCATCGCACTGCGTTAATCACCCGAATAACCAGGCAAGTTGGGACGTTGTTTGCTGAATTGCATATATTTCACAAAGACATCCAGTTCATTATGGAAACGGAGTAAAATAACGCAGGCTCAGTTTTTAATATTGTTAATTGCTCGAAAACCGGACGGGACCATTTGGAGTTCTACGCATCAAAAATCCATATGAACCGGACAATGTATGCATTGTAGGGGGGGGGATTAAGCACCCATCCAACACAAACGAGTGTGAAATCGAGTTGGGTAGCATTACAACTGAGTTAGTTTACAAATAAGCTACCTCGGCTCATGGAAGCTTCGACATTCAATAGGCAACCAATCAGATTCATTCGAAGATGCACCGAAAAATCCAAGCATAAGCATTCGAAGATGGCAAAACAAAAATGTGCTCAACTCAAAAGTAGGAATATCAAGGAAATTCTACAAAGACGGTTGATGTTGACTGTAACTCACATGCAAATCTGGTTCTCCTCTTCACAGCACCTAGATTAATTGTGGTTTCGTGTCCACTTTCGGGAGCAGATCAGAGAAGCATGTAAAAATCCGAGCAGTAGAACGCACACAACCTGGGTTGAACGTGTAATGACGATATCAGCTATCTCCCAAGCAAATATTTCAGAACACCCCCATCTACTATTGTTCCTGATCTACTAACGACTAGCCACTAAGCCGATAAAGGGTTAAAAGCCCACCCAACTCTGGAAAGACAGTTGCTAAGGTTTGCATAGGCTACAATCTATTCCGTGTACAACAATAAACCCCAGCTCAGATGGAGCAAAATGGTTACGGAATTAAAATTTGCTCTGCCGTAGTGTTGTGCTCTTTATTCAAATTCGTTTTGGAAGATAATTGTATTGAAAAATTCTGAGTCCGTTGTTTGTTTAACATGAATGAGAACAACTATTATTATCATTATGGTATATCCAGTTTTAATATCGGACAAAAATTGTAAATTTTGTTTTCATCAGGAGTTTACAAACGGTATATCCGCGTCACGTGAGAGAGACATACAAAAGACCTGTGCACTAGCCTACAGAAAAATAAACAGCTGCACTACGATGCGCGGATCCAAAGTCACATCTTTGGTACGGGCATTGAGCTAGGCAAATTCACGAGACTTGAACCTAAGACGCAAATCTAGTGGCCAGGAAAAATAGGAAGGAGGAATGCATCATCAATCCCTTAGATGCTCACTTCAACGAACTCCTTCATTCGGCACGACAAGACCGATAGAAAGTAGGCAACCATTGGATAAACAACGAGGAAAGCGGGATTGATGGACAAACAGGTGCAAAACAAACTGAAGGGTTGGGTACAAGCAAACCCAAATCATTCATAGGCAATACAGTTTAACAAGGTGTCCTGGTCTAGATCAAAACATTAGAATAAATGCTAAAAATCAAGGTTTATCACCTAATTTTAAAAATAAAATACTGAAAGATAAGGTACTAAGGAATTACCGCTGTAATTTTCGTAGTTGGTTATAGTCCCTTGCAGAATATGAATATTTGACTTAAATTTTAGGTGAGGCACTTCAGACACATAACCAAGAGAGGTTAAGGGGTTTGACGAACTGTTTAAGTGGACGCAGTGGGGGATTGTTTATTCTAATTTCTACGGCCTCCGCTCTGGATAGCAGTCTGGCTTTACTTTTAGATCGGATCCACGTCATCGAATCGTCAATTATGTGGTCAGTGTTGATTCATCCCCCTCCTAACCTCTCAACTCCCATTTTACATAGAATACAAACCAGATTTGACTGTTTCCTTAGTTAATTATATGAGTTATATAATGTAATTTAATTGAGCAGCAGATAAAGCAATAAAAGTAAGCTTGTTCGCCACATCATTGATTTTTTCATAAATAATTTACACAGTTCAAAAAACGATTAAATCTTCAGATCGTAAACAGTTGCCTCGTTTTCATTACAAATTATCGTCAGGACCTAAACTATTTCTCTTCGTCCTGTTGATTATTATCAAGTGAAATCTGTATACCTAAATTCTTATTATGGATTACTTTTCAGTTTAGAAATACATTTTGCTCTCAAGGAATCTACGATTATAGCTCGCGAGATGCACAACTGATTTTCAAGAGTTAAAACACTATTATTTGCTTCCCAAAAATCTTAAATACCTACTTGTTTTGCATTTCCTTTGAACGGGCCATATTCGACATTTTTGTATGCAGAATTTTCTGTCCACCATGTAACTACTCACGCAGCGTAGATAGTAGTATAATGCCAGAAATAAATGTGGTTTGTGGTCTCCGTTACCGCAATCACATCGAATCATGTGAAACGTTGGCTTGAATTTAATTTGTCTTGGGATACCTTGAAAATACATTTATACCATTTTTCCGTTCGCCTAATGAGACTTTGATATAAGCGCCCTGAATTAAATGTCTCAAATTAATTATGTTATACTGTGAAACAAGAGCATCAATAACCTACTTCAAGGATACATGGTAATTCCTCAAAACAGTAGATAACCATTTCAGATAAATATCTCATCATTTTCAGTTTGTGATACTGAAGCAAAGGTTTAGAGGCGTTCAACGGATTGTTCTCTTATTCTACCTAGACATAGTATTAACATTGAAATACCATGCAACACAATCATTCTGTACTATTTAGGTAGTTGTTACCACCAAAGAAAGAGCGTCAGCCCTCTTTCTACAGCCATTATCAACTTAGCCAGCGTTATCTGTTTACCTGCCAATAGGCAATATCCCATAACGGAAGAATCTCCTCCACAGAATGATTTCTTTGAACCAAAATGGAGTTTAATTGCAAATGGCAATGGTGCAATTTATTCTTCCGGCCGATATCTGTTCGTCACTCCAACAAGGATTTTAACAGTGAATCAGAACCCTGGGCATTTTTGAGATTTAGTGTTTTCCAGTCCAAATGTCAGTTTTGTAAACCACGAGCTAACTATATTGCCAGGTTTAAACGTCCAACGTGTTAGTTGTTGCCACTTATTGGCATGTTGATAGGCTAGTGTGGTAATGTTTGACAGATATTCGGTTCCAATAAACCGGAATCCTTCACGAACACCCTTATCCCCGTGTCTAGGATTTTCACGTGTATGGCCATAAATGTGTGATCTCCGTGCTCCTCTATGCAATTGCTTGACTAACCAACTTACGCTTACACTTATCGTCTAGTTCAGCTTTCTTCAAGATACTTCACCTGATCCCAATTGGCTGCCTATTTCATCACAAATCACTTCTGTTTGCGCTTGTCTTGACCGATTTTCAGTCTCGCTTTAAACCCTTATAAGAAAACACGTGGTCATTCCATTTCTTGTTTGCTGTGTCACGGGTCAGAAAATGTTCCGTCCAGTTTGTGCCTGCAGACGTAATAGGCTTCAAATTAAAGCAGTTAACAAACAAGAAAAAGGCTTGACGGCTTGAAGCTTTGATGATC